TTAAACCATAATTAAAATCTGAGGTTTATTTTATCCCTTTGTATTGCAAGTAAATACTGGGCCAGCCCAGGCCTGTCCAATGACCTTGGGGCTTGTGATAACCACATTCAAAAAGATTTCAGATCAGGTCAAAACTGTGATGAGTGGTAAATGGTCAGTAATGGATGTAAAGGTGGTTCTGCATTGCCATACTGTTATGGCAGTGAGATGACAGTGGGGTCTGAGCATCTCTTGAAGTCTCACAACAAACGGCTGGCTGTCAGAGGACACCTTAGGAAGCTTCTCTTAGCTGCAAGGCATCTGCTAGCTTGTGGGTCTCAAGGAAACATTAAGCAACCTTGCCCAAGCGCCCTTCAGTGATGATTCATTTGAACCACTGGGACTTTATTTTGGAAGTTTCTACAGTCAGCTGCCAGTTCTAAAACTGGAGCTGGCAGGTAATATCTGAGGGTAGAAGAGGGCACCTCAGACACCTCTCAGATGCAGAGGCCTCTGGTGATGCCTACATGACAGCACCACCACGGAGGGTTAGATGTGCACCACAGCCATGTCCCAAATGCAGGCTGTCACACCACCTGGGTGAGTATCATGTCTTCCCTCCCCTGCACCCACCTCAAGCTTTGGTTTTCATGAAGGAGAAACCGTGACACGTTCCAGCTGGTCTTATGAGGTGGAACAGCAGGGACTGTGGCCATCAGCAACGCTCGCTGTCCCATATGGGAATGTCCCCACTCTGTTGCACAGTTCCTTGGGATCCAGTGGGCTTCAGACTGGTGTTTGGGAAGTGCCAGGTGTCAAATAGGATTCACAGGGCTGCAGGAACACCTCCTGTCAGCAGCCAACTTCACACCAGAGAGCCCGTGCTCCTTTGAGGCTTGAGCTCTGAAACAGAGCAGACACAAGGAGTTGATTACCTGAGCCGAAGAGAAATCACCTTCAGATGGCTCATTAAGATTTGGCAGCGCTTTCCCTTTTCTCCTTTCCCAGCTGAGCTCCTCTTTTGCTCAGAGGATTCCCTTCCACCCATTCGCTTCCATTGCGTACTGTGGCAGATGCTTTCACTGACATATTTTGGCCACTGTGCTCGGCCAACATACTTTGGAGCAATTTCAGGCAGGCTGCAAGCTGAGGCATTGTGCCGGGGCTGGAGCAGACGACAGAGGCGATACTGACGCCCGTTTCTGTGAGCAGCCTGGTCTGTGGGCACGTTCTGCTGGCAGGAATCCAGCAGGGACCCTGCTGCACCCACTCTGGACCTGCCTGGGGCATCCTGCCCATTTCTTGGCCTTGCAGCATGGCATCGAGCTGCGTTGTGTTGCAGCTGGGGTGACTGAGGGCAAAGAAGCCAGGGGAGGGAAATGGGACCTCTGACCTTCATATATATTTGTATAACCAAAAGCTGTCTATATCCCTCTCTCCTCCCTGGGAGGGACACTGGGATATGGAGAGATACAGACCCCTGATGTGGACAGGGAGACTGCAGGGCTCACTGGGGCTGGCAGGTCCCTGGGGCCAGGGCGTGGAGCTCCAGCCAGGAGCAGGGCAGCCAGGGAGCACCAGGGCAGCTCCAGGCCCGGGCATTGGACACCTCCCTTGGGATGGGCCGAGGCCAGGACATGGGCCTGAGGGTGGGCCCGGCTTGGTGGGGCCATGGCTGAGCAGGGCAGGGCTGTGGGGAGCTGGAGACTGGCCTTGCTGTGGCACCACTGGGGTGAGGGCTGAGGGACCCGGGGAGCTGAGGTGAGGCCCTGGACCCTGGGCAGCGTGGGTGAGCCCCAAGGGGCAGACATGGGGTCCTGGCCCTGGGCAGGGTGGGGTGGGGCAGTCAGGGCTGTCAGTGCCCTTGTAGCCTTGACATGACCTTCCTCTCCTCATGGGTCTCAGGGAGTTTTCTCTAAAACTAAGGATCAAAGAATGGGATTTTCATTATCTCTCTTTTCAGGTGATTTTTAAGATCATTGCACAGCATATATGCCATTGCGAGTTTCACTGGTGACATCCTGCTCCTGTGAGAACCAGACACGCCATCCCACCCTTTCAGCTCTTGTCCCTTAAACAGTTGTTTTTCTGCAAGACGACCTAACCATTTGTTCCCAGACCACTTAACTTATCCAAGAGGCATTCATGAGATTCCTGTCAAAACTTCTTGGAAATCCAGCTGCACCCGGATTACCATTACCCACCAGTTTACCCCACCACTGACCACCAGCAGATTTGTGAATCACGGCTGCTCTCAGGCTGGTGTTGATGTATTATGGTTGTACTATGTCATGTCATAGTTGCTCTTGAGCTACTTAATGAAGACAGGCTTTGTAAATTTCTGAATACGCATAGACCCCTTTCTAAAATCTGTTACTAATTTGCCCCTGCCTGTTCCCCTGGAATTGAGGCCAGCGTGAGCAATGGGTTGAACAAGTTGGCCACTGTGTATCTAAGCTCCTCTACAAGATGTGGGTGAACCTCCTCCAGTCCTGGTCATCTGTTGTTACTGATTTGGTTGAGTTACTCCAAACTCTCTTCTATTGATATTTCAGTTTGACAATGAATTCCTCAGATTGATCTAGTACAAAAAAAGCCCCTGTTGTGGGTGCATCTGCTCTGAGCATTAATGAAAGATTCATTTCTACTTTCTGCAAGACCTCTGCTTCCCTATATCCCCATAATTCTCCAGTAGGCTACCAGTCTGAGGAGTGTTTGAAAAAAGTTTCATTTATAACTCTGTACCTTCAGCAAGCCACAGGTTTGCTTTGGCTTGCCTTTACGTGTTTAACTTGAGAGATTTCACATCTTTTGCTGTTTTCCTCATTTGGGCGTTCTTGTGCTTTCTAATGGTGTTTCTTTACCTCTAATAGTCTCCTTTGTTGTTTACTTCTACGGGTTATTTTATGGTCCAAGTAACAATGCGAACAAAGGATTTCTAAGGCTCAGGCAATTGTTCTGATCACTCAACTGTAGGTTATTCTCTTTTGGGACAATCTGAGAGTAATTTGGAGCAGAAGCAGTATAGACATTTCTGTCAAGGGTGTGGGTGTATGCGGTGGGAGTGATAACCCTGTTTCCTGCAAAATTTACTGTTCTGAGTAATCTTTCATGTTACCAATGGGAACTTTTGGTTTAACAGCACAGATATCCACCCAATTTAAATTTTGCTTTCTGTGACTTGGTTACTCCCAGCTAGGTAGTGCTAGTTAAGTACAGAGCTCGGTGAGTGTCTTGAAGTTAAAAGACCCATCAGTGTTCTCTTTTACCCATCTCAGTGAAGTTCCTGGTTAAATCAGACTCCTTTGCTCACCTCAGCAATATCCAGATAGGTCTTTGAAAAGTATGAGTTACTGCTAAGAAAGGAAATTAAAAACTGCCACCTTGGATATGAACAAAGGATCAATGAAAAGTAAGACTCAGGAGCGAGAAAGCCCTCCTCTCCTGGGAACACAGACTGAATCTGTGATACAAACACATTTTCATAAAAAGGAAATTGTCTGACAGGGGCAGCCACAATTAATCCAATTTTAATGCCAGTTCACTATTTCCTCATTATGTTTCACTTTATATTAAGACTGTATTTGTAAGATGCACTCTGAACTTCACATTAAAGAATAGCCCTGCTGCTGAAAGAGCCATAATTCATTTACTAACAGCCCCTGTTGCTGTGCTTCAATAATGTAATTGTTTCTCTGCGTTCCAACCATATGATTATTCCTGTTGTGTAGGAAATTTAAGCCGAAGGAATGTCAGATCATATATAAAAGCCTAGTGCTTACCCATAGTTTTTATTCAATTAAGTAGCCATTACAGAGCTCATGCTATTTCAAATGACATAATGCAGAACACAGATGCAGTCCTTTATTACAGATATATGTTCATCAAAACAAAATGGCACCAACATAATCCAAACCCATTACAATTTTTAAATTATTATGCTAAGGTGATCATTATATGGTGAGCAGCCTCTGTGAAAGACAAGCGGGGAATCCACGGCCTCTACAAACCACACTCTGAGCACAGCAGCAGTGTTATTTGAGGGTTTTTTGTGCAATTCCTAAATATGAAGGAACAGTGATGCTAATACATTCTCCTAGAGTGAAAGCTCTGAGCTGCAGCTTGAAGAACATGACTTTGCCGGTGATGTGTGGGTAAATCATGCATAGGGCTGGGACCTGACCCAGAGAGAAGTCCCTAAGGCAAGGTCTGGGCAGCATTTAGGTGTTTGTCCCCAAACTAAGATCCAAAAATGCCTGTCCATTCCCACCCAGTCTTGCTGTGCTCATTAAGCACCTCACACGTCGTCTCTGCACATGCCTTCTGCATCACCCACGGGATCCATAATGCTTTCTCTGCTCAGCATTTCTAAGGGCTCCTCCTAACCAGCACAGTGCCGGAGCTCCTATCACCCACCTTCAGGTTTGGGCTCCTCACTAAATTGTTGCCCAGCACCACAAGTGCCTTAACCTGCCCAGGGCTGAGGGCCTTCCCCCTGCAGGGCCGCAGCCCGCCTGTCAGAAGCAGCTCGCTCTGCAGCCCTTCAGTGCTGCTGCTGTGGAGGGCTCTCATGGGAAGCGACTGCCCCCAGCATGAGATCCCTCCTTTCCCTCTGCTCCTACCCCTTGGTCCTGGCTTTCTATTCACACGAGAGGGCTAATGATATATGTGTCCTTCGCCACGGTGATCAGAATGCTCCTGTGGAAGGTGGGAGAGGGAGAAATTTAAGACAGATGTTGTTCTGGCTGCTTTTTGTTAATCAAAATTTGGGATAATACAGTAATAAGGTAAGAGGCACATATAAAATTGAATACAGAACAGTGCAAATACAGGGAGTCTGTTATGATTTATTCATCAAATACTGAAAATAATATGAAAAGAGAGAGATGGCACAGAGATAGTTACCGATTATGTAGAGTGAAAAGCTGCATCAGAAAGAGTTCAGAGGGTCAGTTTCTATTTTTACAAATTAAAAAAACAAACCACCAAACCTTCCAAAGGTTTCTGGAATTAGATTTTTGTATATTGTGTCTGATTTTTATTTTATTTCCATAACAGTCAATGTGGTCCAAGATGAGTACTTCTAAATGTTATCATATAAAGAGGAAGGACAAGGACAATTTCTCCACTTAAGCCTCTTTACTGGCATAACTGCAAGACGACAATAAACTGCTCAGTGATTCCTACACCTCTTCCCCTAATGCCAGATTCTGTCTGCAACTTTTTACTTTCAGCTCATTACATGAAAGCAATTTGATTGTCACATTTGGCTAGCAGCTGGAATTCTCCAACTGAGGTAAGCAGGGCTCAGATACATGTTCTCATCCCTCAGCAAAAACCTTGTGACATACGGTAATGTTACGTCTCTAAGCTTTACATGAAGAGGAAAACAGGCATCTGGGCTGGGTTCATTTATAACGCTGTGGTTGCTGGATTAATATGAAAAGACAGATGAAGGCAGACACTTTAATTACTTCACCCTAAATTTTTATTACAACATCAAGTAAAATGGTGAGTTACAGAGGATAATGGGTGTGAAGCATCTGGTATGAAGTCACACACAAGCTCATGGTTTGTTATCTGCCAATGGGGTTTTAAATATTGGTAATTTCTGTACATGCATCTTTGTGTTACTTCTGATTTTCTTGGTAAATCATTTCAGCATTACTTTGTTTTAACCTGTGAGGTAGCTACTAAGACTGGGACCCCGCTTTTTTCTTCTGGAATTTTCTGAACTGGGACTGTATCGCCACAGCTGCCCTTTCTGTCTCTGGCGCATTCATGTCTATGTCAAATTCCTCTTGAACCTTCTTTTGCCCATCTGTTCAAAGAAAACAAAACAAAACATCAAGTTTTTTCAAACAGCGATAATCACTGGACAGCACAGGTGAAAACCCCTGCCCCTCCTTCCTTCACAGACACAGCCATGATGATGGGAAGCATATTCAGAAGAAAACCTGGGACCAGTTTCAGCAAACACAGATGATCAAATCCCCCACCCCCTCCCAATAACAGAGTCTGTGACAGCCCCTTGGTAGCCAGGCACCGAGTGGCGACATCCAAAAGGTGCTCACGGTCACCGAGCATCACCCTGACATCTCAGCAAGTCGTCTCCTGCCCCAGGAGCTGACCGTGAGGGGCAGAGGGACCCCCCTGTGCCACCCTGTAGGTAGAAGTTACTCATATCCCCATGTTTACTGTAAAATAAAGGCACATTAAAATATTTTAAAGTAGGGATGAAGGCTCTGTTCCAATCACATCTCCTGCATTAGAGGGAGAGATAATACTTCCTAAGGCAAATTTCCATCCTTTTCACTTCTTTCCTGCCTTTCAACACATACTGCTCTTCCCCTTTGAATCATTTATGTTCAATCTCTCTCCCACTGTGCTGCTTCCCTCCCTTCTCTCCAGGCTCTGTTGTTGCCTTTCAGCCTTGGTCCTTGGCTCTTTGCCTTCCTTTATTCCCTGGCCTCAGCTTTTCATTCAACTACATTTGGCCTCCATGTGGACAACCCAGCTGACTTTGCTGAATTTTGTTTCCTCCACCTACATGTTAAAAGTGCAGCCCTGGGAAAAACCCCACCGTCATGCAAAGACAACCCTAATCTGCCTGGACCAACGAAGTGAGAACACACATTCACTCCACTAACCTCATCATACCACTGAGTTTCTCCGCTCTATAAATCTGTTTGTTAAACTCACATAACCGTTGTGTCCTGGTCCTGCCGTGAACGACATGCCAGGAGTCTGCAGAGAGCTGTACTTAAAACAGCTGTGGGAATTCACCCATTTTGAACTACTTTGCTTTATATTGTTGAGGTTAATACCTCTGGGATGCTCATCCCCAAGTACTGTTAATGCAAATCAAGGGGAACAATCTCAATGTAGTATTAAAATGAAAAAAGAACTTATTCCCCACTCTCTCTCATTCCCACTAGAAAACAGGGATACCATTTAATGATTTTAGCATGAGTCTTGCAGTATTTCTTGCTTTTACTTCTTGTTCTTATTCAGAACTCAATTTTTGTGTCCATTTTCCATCACCAGAATCCACTCTAAACTGGGCAAATATTTAAAGGGAAGGTTTTGACATATTCCATACTGATTTTATTTTAACTACAATAACCAAATAAATGCAGCTATGTCAATGTATAAGAAGTGTTCACTTAAAATTTTATTTTACTTAGAACAACATTTAAGAAGAAAGATTAAAATGTAAGAAGAAGGAGAAAGTCTGGAGAAGAATAGCTTGAAAGCTTACCAAAACTTTGATTATACAGTATAATAAAAAGTTAGGTTATCAAAATGAGGATTTTATGGAAGAAACTAAATCGTACTAACATTAAGTCACACTTCCACAGCCATTAATTCCAAGAATCTGTACAGTTTGTGTAACTATTCAAGAAACACAACCATAGGAATACAAGTATTGACTTATTTTCATGGGGAAAGGGAGGTGAAGGTTGGAAGTGACTTCTTATGATCACAAGTTGTTGACACAGCCAAGGAGAAAACTGAACTCTCCCATTAAAGCCATGTTATATACTGAAACTTATAGTGGCTTGTCAAAGAAATAGAAATTTCCGTACCAGTTCCTAAACTAATAATACAACACTTCATGAAACTTTTCCTATTGCCAGATACCACCATCTCCACATTGCTAGGTACACAGAAGAGAAACGGACATTATTTTTTTAAATCAAATTTCAGAAGAAATTATCATTTTCACAATGACACGGTACCATTTTGTTGGTATTTTGGGGGGTTGGTTCTGATTCAGTATTTATGGGTTAAAGGAAACTAAGACAAGAATTCACATTTTATATGGAAACAAACCAAAAAAGGACTTAAAATCATCCTGTAAAAAACTAGGAATTTTCAGTCAGAACATGTAAATATAGACTTTTCATTTGAAATTTTTGAGAGCCTGATTAGCTATCTCTAACATCAACCACTTTGTGATATCAATAATACGAAAATAAAAACTGTTTTACTTGTCCATGTGTCAGAATCTCTCCTTTATTTATAGGGTCCTATTAACTTATTCTAAGGAAAAGAGTATCACTTATGGAGAAATATTCTTATTTCTTATGGAGAAATATTTTATCAAAATGTTCATATGTGCAATGTAATAAGCATTTAATCAGCTTTGAAAAAAATGAGACTGATGTCTTCTCATTGCTTGATGATTTTCATTTTTGTTGCAACATTCCAAATTTTAAGCTCTTTCCTAGCCACGCACTAGACACAGCTCCCAGTCTTAACAGTAGAAAACAAAAGTGGAATTTATGCATCAATTTTAGCTTTTCAGTATATAAATTACTGTCCCTTGGAAAGGTCAATAGGGAAAGCCAGATGGATGGGTGAATGGGCACAATTGGTTTCATACCTCTCGATGAGCTCCGGCTTGTACAATACGTTTCCTATTACAACCAAGTCTTAGCAGTATGTTAACTTGCACTAGTGACTCAGCAATCTTACGTTAAGATTTGGTTGATTTAAGAAAATCCAGCATTTAGTATATTTTTTCTCTAGAATTTCCAGGCCAGTTAATCTTTGTTTGATGTGAATCACCATCACTGCTTTAAAATCAATTGTACTACAATAATTTACCATACCTCAAGATCTACAGTAATTTACCATATCTTAAAATCTACCTGACTTCCTTTTATTTTTTGACCCGTGTTCATTGAAATCAAAACCAAAATTCCTGATGAACTCTTTCTGCATTTCTCTTTGTCCCATCACTAAGGAGAAATGGTAAGATGAGAAGTTTTCAGCCATGACTTAGAATTGTAGATTAAGAAATTAGAAGTGTTCAAAAGGACCAAGACACTTATATGGGTAATAAATAAATTGTTAGCTTACGGATGGTATAGAAGTATATATATAACTATCACAAATATATGCATAATGTACATTATAAAACAACATGTATATCGTCAATATGTAATGTATATGACATACCTGTGTTTTCTTTCTCCCTTTTTTCTTTCTATATACACATATGGTTTATCCACATTTGAATATATAGAAAATATATATGACTATATATAGACATACACAAACATATTTGCTTAAGGAGTTTTAAGTCCTGTGTTAAAGTGAAAAGAGCTGGATGGAGTATTTCCTAAAATTTGGGAGTGGATTTTCTTGGAGTTCTCCCTGAAACATTTTCTACTGATGACTGTCACAACACAGATACTTTAACAGATGGATTGTCAATCTGGAGGGAGAATTCAGTGGTGTGCCTTCTTTGGCTTTGTCTATGCTAAGGAAAAAATATTCTAGTTTTTACCTTGAATTGCTTTACTAAAAGTAGCCTAATGATTTAAAATATATCACACCCCACTAACTACACTGGTTTTGTTTCACTGGTTAGTTAAGCGTTAAGAGCATGAGTCCCAACCCCCCAGGGCAGGAGGCTTTGAACTAGGTGATCTTTAAGGTTCCTTTCAACCCAACCCATTCTACAATTCTGTGAATTAAGAATTCACCCACTTAGCTACAGTGAAAACCCAGTCTGTGCTCAGGATATGCACAGACCAGAGATGATCTCACTGCACCAATATGAGTGACTGAAAGCCTTTTTGGACCCTTCCTACTATGTACGCCCCTATGCCATGCTAGCTTTTACTTGTCAGTAGTTGTTCATATACCTCAAACATGCAGGCTATTAATTTTTCATGCTCAAATCGTTAAATTTATGCATAGAACTGAAATCAAGCCCATAAAAATGTTCCTCTTTCATTCACTGTCTCCCACTCCTAGCTTGCCTTTCATGAGGGATCACTAGCTTGGAAGTGATCTGAAAACCCAGGAAATTTTCACTCTCAGCAGGCCAAGGCATAGATAAGCACAGGGTTTACTCTTTGACTTGCTTTCTTTGTTCCTACTGGTGGAGGCACCTTTTTCTAAGCTGCCTTTACGTAGCAGTAAAGGTAGATCTGGATTCCCTCCCCATCCTCAGTCATACACACACACACTTTTGTTGATATCTACACTTTCCAGACTAGGAGCAGATTTCTTTCACTTGGATATCTGAGGATCCCTGGACTACCACAGGCCCACATGAGGAAACTATGAAGAACAAGACTGTTCTCAGTAGATTTCAATTCACAAGCTACTTATGATTTTAAGGAAATCAAAAATCAAAAAGGGTTGATAAACACTGGCCTGCACTTTCCACTTTCTGAGGGGAATTAGTTTCATTAGCACCATAAAAAACAAAACCCCTAACCTTTCTCACTACACTCAGCTATTTCAAGGCTTTCCCTGAAAGATTTACTTCATACTTAGCCCAAATTCCCTCTCCCAGACAGTAACTCCCACTCTTCTGAACATGATGTGACAAGACAGAGGAGTCAGTATGTGTCCCTGCTGGGTTCTGATCATCGCCAACAGAGGAGGTGAACAAAACAATCCCATGCCAACAGTCATGGGTTGGCCATAACAGAACTTTAGTATCCACCGAGTTTTTCAAAATCAGGTGTTTAATGTGGACTGAGTATGGCCATGTGTCAATTCAGGCAAAGGTGAGCTGCGGTGGAACAAACTCCTTGGAGCACATCAACGGCTTGTTGAGTCCTACCATGATAAGGAGCATCCCATGTCCCAGCACCAGTCTGGTGCTACAGGCTACTTTGCAGGACTAAAGACTGAGACAACCTGTAGGGTGCAGATTTTACTTCAGTATAGACAATAGTCATCCCACTAGGAGAGCCTGAAACAGCAGCTAATTAGTTGTTTTCCAAATCTAATATCCTGAAAGCTCATTTCACATCGTTGCAATTGAAAAAGATCTATTTATTCCATTTCCAG